AGGTATACCTCAAAACTTGAAAACGAGACTGTACACCCAGTGCGTGTTTCCAGTGATGACATACGGAACTGAGACGTGGTCCTTCACTGCTGGCCGGATGAGGAAGCTCAAGGTCGCTCAGCGAGCTATGGAGAGGGCTATGCTCGGAGTTTCTCTGCGTGATAAACTCAGAAATGAGGATATCCGCAGTAGAACTAGAGTGACCGACATAGCCCAACGGATTAGTAAGCTGAAGTGGCAATGGGCCGGCCATATAGCTCGAAGAACCGACAACCGATGGGGAAGAAAGGTTCTCGAGTGGCAGCCTCGTACCGGCAGGCGAAGTGTAGGGCGTCCCCCCACTAGATGGAGTGACGACCTGGTAAGATATGCAGGAAGTCGATGGATGCAGGTGGCTCAGGACCGTGCTTTGTGGCATTCTTTGGGGGAGGCCTATGTTCAGCAGTGGACTTGTGAAGGGCTGTAATGATGATGATGATGATCCAAGGAAAAAAATCAAATTAAAACATAAATACTTCTTACTAACATAATAAATAAATTAAAGGAAAAAAAATTATACAAAATTATACGGCATGTAAAGTTTAATTTAAGTAAAAAATACTAGCTAAATCGCCGCCGTCTGTTGGTAGTGTGCCCAAAAGACTAGCTGAGTTGCCTCGCTGTATTGCGAGGCTGATCCGCTGACCAAAATATCTGCCAGCTTTTGGGTCACCAGAGATATCGACAAGGCGTGATGAGATATCTCTGTACAAACGCCGTGCTTCAGGACCCCACGGCCCCAGTGTTTCTACACCAAACGGCACAAACATGTATCCCTCTCCGAGGGCTGCATATTTGCGCCGCTTGTTAGACTCGGCAACAGCAGCAGCCGTGCCTGCCTTCTGTGCAGTCGCCGTGAGATGTGATTGCGCTAATGTGTCAACACAAGTCGCATCCCATACTAATGAGCGCCCATTTTTCCATGGAATAAGCGTCATTCCATCAGGTCTCTTGCCATCGTCCCGCAATATACCGCTTGGCTCTAAAATTGCAGGTACGTTGGCACTGGTTAAGGCCCGTCGAATGACGTCATTAATGGCTTCATGGTGAGGGATGCGACCGGCGCTTCTCTGGCATGCGAGGCCGTGGTGTCCGAGAATGTCGACCTCTATACCACAGCGGCAGCGATGGAGCTCATTGGTTTTAAACCTAATCTCAGGCTGATAGAAAGAGAGAAAGTAGTCCTATCCAAGAGTGTTCCGATATTTGACGAGGGCAGTGCATTTAACCAGTAGCCTGACTCCTTCTCCTCAGAAGCTAGGAGACGAGCTCGCTCTGTAGGGTTTCCGCAGTTTTCTAAAATATTTTTTTTAACTTGGATACTGAGTGGCTCATCCCAATGCCTCTGCGAAGTTGAGTTTGTCGGAAAAACCTGGTCCGGCCCTGTCTTATTGCTCCAGGCTTCCTTGGCCTCAGCCAAGCAGGAGACCTCTACATCACCAAGTGATGGGTTAATAATTGTTCCAATGAGGTCTGACGTGCTATGAACTGAAGACAAGAAAGCTGGAAGTACTACGCTGGAAACTCTTCGGATGCCTAGACCACCAAGTCTAACGGGAAGTGTGGCCTGAACCCAGGAATTTTCATTTAATGGACAATTTAGAATTTCAATCATAGTTTTCCTAATCATATCATCGAGCCGATTTAAAAATGGGACATGCATCCAAAGAGTTGAACACCGCAGCACGTACGTAAAATTTGGCACAAAAATACAAAATTTTAGTATGGCATATGCCATGTGTGGGCTAACTTCTTTCAGACGACTGGATGACTCCTCAAATTTTAAAATCTGTTCACTGACAAAACATTGAAAGGACTCATCCAGAATAGGAGCACCTAGAATGCGAAGCGATTTGCTGTTAATTATCTTTATATTTGGGGCTAAGGAGTTAAATTTGTTAACAATTTGATCTTTTTCGGACGATGGTAAATTCTCACTAATAAAAAGTTCTCACTTTGAAAAATTCAAATTGAGGCCAATAGAACTGAAAGAAGAAATAAGACTGGTTAAATCATCAAGCACTGAGTTCGCTTCGCCTCCTAGTGTCCCATCATCTAAATACCAGACATTTAATTTTGACTTGAGACCGGAAATAAATGGATGTATTGCTAAACTAAAAATTCCCGGACCGAGCGGGTCACCCTGCTGGCATCCGACAGATGATAAAATTTGGTGTTCTTTGTACATGAGTGTAGATGGTGTACTATAACATTGCCAGAGGTAATGGTAAATGGATGGGATATTTTCTTTTACCTGTGTCAACAGCCTCGGTCTACTGAGTTAAATGTATTTTCAACATCCATCTTCAGTAGCACCTCACCGCCGCCGTGTTTCAGAAAGGTGCGCGCTGCATGTACAGCCCCTTCGCATCCGCTTTTAATCCCGAAACCTAGCTGCACAGGCTGGAATATGGCCGCGAGGTCTGCCTGGATATATTTGCAGCAAACCTTTGAAACAATGCGGCGAATTGTGCTACCAACTGCGACTTTTAAATGTTGAGGTGAAAGACCATCGAGACCACTGGCCGATCCATTACTAAAGGAATTGATCGCAGCCTGTACTTTCTCAGCAGTGGCTTCCAGTGTACGCTTAGAAGGATCAGGAGCATCTGGTAAATTTAAGGCAGCCGATGGGAGTGGAAGTTTAGCCCTCAGGGAATACAAAGTTTCCGGAGTGTCAGGGGCTAATGCATCACTTGAAAAAAGAAGGCGAGCGGCACCTCTCAAATCGCCATCATTCAATTTTGATTCAGTTTTTTAATTATATTGTAACTAATTTTATCTTTAAATTCATCATGTGGATTAGTTTTCTCGAGCGAGTTTAGCGAGCTAAAACAATTATCTTTTATTATTTGTGTGAGAGAGATGCCATTGCCTATGTCATATATAGCAACGTGCATTTTTTCCAGCTTTCTGAATCATTTTTATTGATTATGTCTTTGATACAAGATGATAATGAGAGGGCTACAGTGTTTCTTGCACCCCTTGGTATTCTTTTTATAATTGGATATAGACGTAAAATCGATAATACCTACGTGTGTTAAACCACCGAAGTTGTATGGGTTACCAAAAATACACAAGCCCAATGCTCCACTACGTCCTATAGTGAGCCAAATCGATTCACCAACTTACAGATTGGCTCAACACTTAGCGAATATATTCTCACCGCTCAAGGGACATACAAGAGCACACACAAAGGATTCCTACCATTTTGTCAGCGAGATTAAAGACCTACATCTGGCAGACAATGAAACTATGGTGAGTTTTGATGTGCAGTCTCTGTTCACATGCCTACCTGTTGAAGACTGCATCTCGATTGTTACTAGAAGGCTAGAGGAAAATAACATGCCCGTAGAATATGCAGTATTACTCAGACACTGCCTTACATCTGGCTACCTATTGTGGAAGGAGGAGTTCTACAAGCAAGTAGATGGTGTGGCGATGGGCTCACCTGTATCTCCCATTGTTGCCGATATATTCATGGAGGACTTTGAGGAGAAAGCCCTGCTTACTTCTCCCATAAAGCCAAGATTCTACAAGCGGTACGTAGACGACACTTTCACAATTCTAGCTTTAGATAAAGTAACTGCATTTTTAGACCATCTTAACTCCTTAAATTCTAAAATTCAGTTCACAATGGAGTTAGAGGCAAACAATTCTTTAGCTTTTCTAGATGTGTTAGTAATTCGGAATCCTGATAACACCTTGAGCCACACTGTGTATAGAAAAAAGACCCATACAGATAGATATTTAAACGGTGATTCTCACCACCATCCTTCACAGTTAGCTACCGTGGGTAAATCTTTGTTTCAGAGAGCACGAGGGATCTGTGACAGTAAACACCTGGCCGCCGAGCTCCAACACGTCAAGCAAGTTTTGCACGACAATAAGCTTCGGGTCCCGCGCCTACGTCACAGTGAACGAGTGAAGCCGGCCACAGTCGAGCGAGTGCCTGCTGTACTGCCATTTGTCAGAGGTGTCACTGACAAAAAAATACCATTCCAGTTTGGAACCGTGTGTATTAAACTACATTTCCGAAAATTATAATAATGAATTCTCTTCGTGATCATCATAAATGTCCATATGAAAATTATTATACACATCAAGCTGGATCAGGAGTTGGAGTAATTTATAAGGGTTCACCATATCAACGCGGTCATGGTATTGGGAGCTTCTTAGGGGGGTTATTCAGATCAGTTTTACCTTTACTTTCAAGTGGTGCTCGAGTGATTGGTAAGGAGGCATTAAGCGCTGGAGTAGGACTTTTATCGGATATGGTTCAAGCCCGTCCTATGGAAGCCTCAATAAAAGATCGTCTAAAGCAAGTTAGTACGAATTTAAAACGAAAGGCTGATGAGAAAATTGATCAATTTAACATGACTGGATCTGGGTATAAAACTAAAAGAAAACGATTGACATCGTTCATTCCACCATTAACTGCTAAAGTGAAAGCTGCGAAAAAACTTTGTCTAAAACCAAAAAATATCAAAGATATATTTTCAAACTAAATATGTCTTTCCTTCATAATCATTCTTGCGAGTGCGTTAAGTCTGAATTGGATTTGTTTGCACTACCGTCTACACAAACTAGCATTGAAAATGGATTGTGGATTCATTATAAACCAATTTCATCTCTTGGTGATGATGGACCTATCGAGTTTCAAGTTCCTGGGACCGGCGATGACTACATAGATTTGTCTCATACATTACTCCACATAAAGGCAAAAGTATTAAATCAAGATTCAACTAACTTGGTATCTACTACAATAGTAGCACCTGTAAATAATTGGCTGCATTCACTTTTTAGTCAACTTGATGTTTATTTAAACCAAAAACTTGTATCACCACCTAATAATACCTATTGCATATCGAGCATACATGGAAACCCTTTTAAACTATGCCCCTGCTGCTAAACAATCTCATCTTACTTGTAGTCTTTGGTATGAGGATACAGCAGGAAAAATGGATTCTACAGATGGTAAAAACATAGGATTTGTTAAAAGACAGGAATTGATTAGTGAAAGTAAGGAAATAGAAATGATTGGTCATCTTCACGGTGACATTTTTAACCAAGATAAATTTTTAATTAATGGTGTTGAAATGAGTGTTAAATTGGTTCGATCAAGAGAGAGTTTTAATTTAATTGTTGGGTCAAACGATGTAAAGTTTAAAGTTTGCATTACGGACGCAACTCTTATTGTTCGACGAGCACGAATTAATCCAAGTGTATTACTCGCACATCAAAAAGTTTTAGCTTCTACCACTGCTAAATATCCTATTACTCGAGCTGAAGTAAAAGTTTTAACAATTCCTTCGGGTCTTCAAGGAAAAACTCTTGATAATATATTTTTAGGACAGGTACCGAAAAGATGTATAATTGGATTTGTGAACAATTCTGCATTTAATGGTTCCCTTACTAAAAATCCATTTAACTTTGAAAACTATGGTATTAATTCTTTCAGCTTATATATTGATGGTCAACAAATACCTTCAAAAGCTTTGCAACCATCTTTTAATAATAGCATATTTACATCAGCATATCATACTCTATTCTCGGGAACTGGTATTCACTTTCTTAATGAAGGAAATGGAATCTCTTGTGAACAGTATGGCAAAGGTTACTGTCTATTAGCATTTGACTTAACTCCTGATTTATCAGCTAACTCATCAACTCATTGGAATCTCATAAAGCATGGTAGTGTAAGAATAGAAGTACGATTTGAATCCTCATTAATACAAACAATTAACTGTATAGTTTATGCTGAGTTTGATAATATTATTGAGATAGATAAAAACAGAAATGTTACTGTAGACTATAGTAGTTAAGGTTATAATATGTGTTGTGTGTTAGATTTTATGTGTTATGTGTAATGCATTTTGTGTGTATGTAACTATGTGAAACGTTATAAAATTAAATAAAACAAATTGTATGCAATATATTTTTTTTATTTCTTTATAAATCTTCTATTTAATCTAATACAAAACACTGTTCGAGTTGAAATTTTACATAAGCACACTGACTAAACCACTGAACATGCTGCTGCCAAGGATCATCATCATCTTCCCAATCTTTTAAACCACCACCACAATGGAAACACTTGGTCCCGTCTGCATGCATTCGGAGTGGAAATGCCACGGTAGTTATGAATACGTCAGATTATAATTCTAAAATACAAGAACTTTTGTCGGATGCAAGTACGTATAAAAAGGTTAAAAATGACCCAACAAATAACACACTTAAAACAACTAGTGATCTCATAAAGAAACACCCCGAAAAATTAAATCTAGACGTAAAATCGATAATACCTACGTGTGTTAAACCACCGAAGTTGTATGGGTTACCAAAAATACACAAGCCCAATGCTCCACTACGTCCTATAGTGAGCCAAATCGATTCACCAACTTACAGATTGGCTCAACACTTAGCGAATATACTCTCACCGCTCAAGGGACATACAAGAGCACACACAAAGGATTCCTACCATTTTGTCAGCGAGATTAAAGACCTACATCTGGCAGACAATGAAACTATGGTGAGTTTTGATGTGCAGTCTCTGTTCACATGCCTACCTGTTGAAGACTGCATCTCGATTGTTACTAGAAGGCTAGAGGAAAATAACATGCCCGTAGAATATGCAGTATTACTCAGACACTGCCTTACATCTGGCTACCTATTGTGGAAGGAGGAGTTCTACAAGCAAGTAGATGGTGTGGCGATGGGCTCACCTGTATCTCCCATTGTTGCCGATATATTCATGGAGGACTTTGAGGAGAAAGCCCTGCTTACTTCTCCCATAAAGCCAAGATTCTACAAGCGGTACGTAGACGACACTTTCACAATTCTAGCTTTAGATAAAGTAACTGCATTTTTAGACCATCTTAACTCCTTAAATTCTAAAATTCAGTTCACAATGGAGTTAGAGGCAAACAATTCTTTAGCTTTTCTAGATGTGTTAGTAATTCGGAATCCTGATAACACCTTGAGCCACACTGTGTATAGAAAAAAGACCCATACAGATAGATATTTAAACGGTGATTCTCACCACCATCCTTCACAGTTAGCTACCGTGGGTAAATCTTTGTTTCAGAGAGCACGAGGGATCTGTGACAGTAAACACCTGGCCGCCGAGCTCCAACACGTCAAGCAAGTTTTGCACGACAATAAGCTTCGGGTCCCGCGCCTACGTCACAGTGAACGAGTGAAGCCGGCCACAGTCGAGCGAGTGCCTGCTGTACTGCCATTTGTCAGAGGTGTCACTGACAAGATTGGCTACATCTTGAAGCGTGCTTCCATTAAAACATATTTCAAGCCGCCGAAGAAGATTAGTCAGTTTTTACCATCAGTCAAGTGTAATATTCCTCTGCAAGATGCAGGAGTGTACAAGCTGGATTGTGAATGTGGTCTCTTTTATATAGGACAAACTAAAAGATCCATAAAAACCCGCGTTAAAGAACACATAGCTGATGTGAAGAATAGACGCTCCGGGAAGTCTGCAGTCTGTGAACACGTACAGGATCGCCCCCGTCACTACATTAGATTTGATAGACCACAAATCCTCGCTAAAGAACACCGATTCCTTCCAAGGATGATTCGCGAGGCTATTGAAATCAAAAAACATCCTAATTTCAATAGAGAAGATGGCTGGGTGCTACCATCTGCTTGGGATCCCATAATTAATAAAATTAAATACCAACCCAAGCATACAACTGCAAGACTTCATGATACTGTAAGTTCATACTGCGTAGATCGGAACAAAAATTAATAATTTTTAATCTGGAGGTAGCCGTGGTTAACTATGACATTGGGACGTCATACACCTCAGTCCCCCCCGTGACCATGGGTGCTGTAAAGTGCTTGAAACGTCTGGAAAGTAAAATAAGTTAATATACGCGATAAAATCCGTAAAATTAGTTTTATTTAAATGTGTAGTGTTCGCGTAAATATAAGAAATCATTATGAGAATAAACTAGTCCCAAATTTAAATAATAAAGATAAATATGTAATTCATTATAGAAATTTAAAGCAGTGCATAGAAATGGGGGTTAAATTAACTAAAATTCATAGAGTTTTAAAATTTAAACAGTCTCCCTGGTTGAAGATGTACATAGATCTAAACACAAAATTAAGAACTTTAGCAAAATCAGATTTCGAAAAAGATTTTTATAAATTAATGAATAATTCAGTCTTCGGTAAGACTATGGAGAATATTGAAAAAAGGGTTAACATAAAATTAGTTACGCACTGGGAGAACCAGGGTAAAGCTTTAGGTGCTCAAGATCTAATCGCTAAACCACAATTTCATAGCCTTTCAATATTTTCGGAAAACCTAGTTGTGGTTCAGTTGCGAAAAACGAAGTTAATATATAACAAACCAATTTATTTAGGGTTTTGCATTTTAGATATTTCAAAAACCTTAATGTATGATTTTCATTATAACTATATGATTAAAAAGTTTAGTAAAATCAAATTATTGTATACAGATACGGATAGTTTAATATATCATATATTTACAAATGATTTTTACACTGATATAAAACCTGACCTTTCATCATACTTTGATACCTCAGATTATGATACAAATAATATTTTTGAATATCCAAAATTAAATAAAAAGAAATTAGGTTTTTTCAAAGATGAAAATAATGGTAAAATCATGAAAGAATTTGTGGGTTTACGATCCAAAATGTACGCTTTTAACTTAGAGAATAAGACTATAGCCAAGGCAAAAGGGGTAAATAAATGTATCACTAAAAAGATGACAATGAATAGTTATAAGTCTTCTCTATTTAATAAAAAAGTGCAATATTATAGTATGCTTAGATTTAAATCAATTAAACACACAATTTTCACACAAAAATTAAATAAGATAGGTTTATCATATAATGACACAAAGAGACATATTTTAGATAATAATATTGAAACATTAGCTTGGGGTCATTATAAACTGCGTTAAGTGTTGATAGTTTTTACTTTTATGTCTGCGTTTAAGAAAAATTTATATTGATTGTAAAATTATGATAATACTATAATATGACGTAGTTTATTACATATTTAATCATTGTTTTATTGTAAATAATTTAAGTTAATTGTTGTTTCTATTTATTTGAGGATGAGTTAATTGTAAAATTATGATGTACTAATTGTTGTTTCTATTTATTTGAGGTTGAGTTAATTGTAAAATTATGCTGTACTAATTGTGTTAGAAATAGTATACAGATAATTCTGTTTTATATAATTTTTGGAATATATATTAATTGTTTACACCAACACTTTCATTTTTTATTTCACCCCTTTGAACTTTAGACGTGTGTTATGTTTCACTTTATCCATCCGTTCACTGCTATTGTGGCAGGACCAAGTGGGTGTGGGAAGTCAAATTTTGTAACAAATTTCATAAAATCAGTTACAGAAATATGTAATTGTGATTTTAATCAGATCACATGGTGCTTTGATGAAATGCAACCATTATATAATTTACCAAATGTTAACTATCATCAAGGAATTCCAAATCTTAATATGTTTGATGGTGAAAACCCACATCTTGTTATTATTGATGATCTAATGAGAGAGTCCGATGGAAGAATTGTGGATATATTTACAAAAGGTAGTCATCACAGGAATCTTAGTGTATTTTATCTAACACAAAATTTATTTCATCAGGGTAAAGGACAAAGAGACATATCTTTAAACTCAAGTTATATAATATATTTTAAAAACCCTCGAGATAAAACTCAAATAAGATATTTAGCAAGACAAGTATCACCAGATAACCCAAAATTCATTGAAGGTGCCTACAGGGATGCAACTCTAGAGGCGCATGGATATTTAATGGTAGATTTAAAACAGAATACCAATGATTTTTGTCGTATCAAGACAAATGTCTTTCCATTTAATGGTTTCTGTACAGTCTACGTCCCCACAAAAGAGTTTAAATACACTAAGAATCAAACAATTGAAATCATTGCTAAATGATGCATCGTCGACTCACAACGTATAAACATTTGCTAACCGCTTTGCATACGCTTAAACCAAAATATCAAAGAGCATTACTTAAAACGTGTGATGAAGAAGAAATTAACTGTATTTGTGAGTGTATTCATAACGTTTTACAAGGAAAAGTACCTCTTAAAGATCAGGATAAACAAAAATTGAATAAACATAAAAACATACTCCGTAAACTAGTACGTAAGTGTAAACATAAACTAAGAAAAAATATAATTATACAAAAAGGAGGGGCTTTCTTACCAACAATATTAGGTGCAATATTGAGTGGATTAGTGAGTGGACTAGCCAGTTAACATGGAAAATGCAAAGAAAATGATACTTATCGAACCTGGATTGATTGAAAAATTAAAACAAGAAAATAAGGTTAATAGTAATTTATCTCGATTAGATATTGAAATGCAAAATATTATGAATAGTAAGACGGAAGACCGAAAGAAATGGATATTATATTTACAAACACTGCAAAGATACCTTCATTTTATCGAAGAGGATCGTCAACCACTCAAATTACCAATTTATTCTGATACATCTAATGAAGATTCAAATGAGTCAAAAATTGGTTTTAAAAATAAAGATAGAGATCTAAAAACTTCAGTTGATATTGAATCTTTGCTGGAGGAGAATCGATCCATTAAAAGTAAAGAAAATGATGAAAATCCACTTTACACACCAGCTCAAATACTCAGTTTAATACCAAAAACTTATCATAAAAAAGGGCAGTTATTATTAAACTTAGTTGAAACAAGTAAAAGTAAAATACATTGGGATAATGAAGGTACAGTCATAATTGATAGTGAAAAAATTCCTGGAAGTAATATTG